TGGGCCTAGAACCTGTTTCTCAATCTGTGATCAATGCGTGTTAATGGGTATTTAGTGATCATTGTTGGCTTTGATCAGTGTCCGAGTGCTAGGAATGTCCTTCCAGCTCAGTCAGAGAACATAAAATCCCCAGTGCAACACATTCTTTAGTTTGGTCTATATGTGCATCTGAATTCGGCATTTAAATCAGATGTGTTATACTGCATTCTGTACTATCTAGAGCATGTCACATGCTTCTCCCTCCACATGCCTCCCCTTAGTAACGGAAAAAAGAGCACAACTTCTCTGCGTGTCTCTGGTGAGCGTCATGGTGACAGTTGTGGTCCTGTATTGGCTATCTAAATGTATAACTGTTTTGCACTTTATATTTCTGTTGTACTGAAGGTCTTGTGATGCAGGGGTGGTGAGTTTAATCTGTATTCAATGGTCGTTTGACCTGAACTAATCTGGCCTCTAAACTGGATTCTTTCCACCTGGATTTATCCAGTACTAGAATCACACAAAAGATTCTTACATGAAAATGAATCATTAAAACAACCATAGATAAAGATTATTTTTGAATTGTGCTGTTATTCGGGTTACGAATTCTGGAAATGACTTTGAGATAAGCAGAAGGGATATTAGAACACGCTAATACAACATTAACCATGCCAATTGAAATCAGAGAGCCATCCACCCTGTTAAAGGTTGTGACTGACCGTATCCACAGTTTAATTACATTATTCTGTTAAAGTACTGCTTCACTCATCTCAGCTGCTGATGTAAATATTTGGTTTGTGTGCAGAAAAATAGACTTCTGTTTATCATAAATGGAACAGAAACCGGAGGAGATACAGGCGGGTTTCCTCGTGAACTGCAGGGAGATGTTTTGAAAGGGACTTGAGAAGAGAAGAAGTGCAGCGTGGATAAACAGGCCTGCGGACTAGTTTGCTTGTGTTGTGGGTTAAAGTTCCCACATGTGATCTGTTCAAACAGCGATGGGTCATTCTACATCTGCAGTAGTGAAAAAACAACAGATAGAGGGAGAGGATTTGTGCAGAAACATGTTGGCTCTGTGATATGGGAAAGACATACACTCTCTAGAACAAAAAAAAGAGATGTTCATTTAACATATGTCAGTGTGGTCCATAACAACACTGTACACTTTAATTGCATGGACAAAAAAAACAGAAACATTTTCTTTTGTGTTCCACAGAATAATAAAAAAAAGTCATACAGGTTTGGAACAACATAAGGGTGAAAATTCTAATAAAAATTCAAAAACATCCCTTTTAAAAATACTTGTTTATGGAAACTGCTCTAAAGCTAAACTTAATCTAGCTTTTAGCCTGCAATTACGTAGATCAAATTATCTTATTGTAAACGGTCCTACTCGACCCGCTCCGAGCAGGATTTGAACCGGAGTTTCCGGCGTGGCGTGGGAGGGTAAAACCGCAGCCTCACACTGGAGACGCCGGTGAGTAGGACCCATTACATTTAGTGTCGTGACCCCGGATTGGATTGAGGTTTAGGGGGTTGAGTGTATGCCAGCAAGAGCTGTATGAGTAAACCTCACTCCCCTGGCCTAAAGAGGTGCTCTAGCGACTGATACTAAAGTCTGAAGTTTTTAGCGTCCTTGTTAGCGCACCCGCCTCCCATGCCAGAGACACCGGTTCGAGCAGGACCGTCGAGCAGGACTGGTTACATTATCACTGTTTTTGCTGCGCAATTCTTGACTTTGACACTTGATATCATCCCTTGCTATGATCCAATAACTAACATTTGCTGAGAAAATAAATGAATTGGTGATTTAGACTGAGAAAGTGCAATGGAAAGAGGTCAATACAATGACACAATGTACTTTTCCTGTATAGGTGAAGTCTGAGATTTTAATGATGGCAGTGATGTGTGTCTGCTCCTGATAAAGCTGTCCTTATGGATTTTGAACCCTAAAAGATGATGAAAGCAAGTTACATAGAGAATACTAGTGTCTGTTTAAAAAGAAAGAGAGAAAGGTTAGCATATTAATAATTTATTTATGCATTGAATGAATAATGGAAGTGCTTGTTTCGAGCTGTGCTAAACAACATACTGAACTTATATAAATTTGTTGAAAAGGTAATAATTTCACCTTTGAATCCAATTCATTTGACACATGGATCATGTTAGGAATAATGTTTTCGGACATAGTACCTGTAGCGCATGACTATAGAGATCTGAGAGATTCCGCTTGTATTGATGTCCACTCCTATTTAAAGTTGGAATGCTTGAGTGGGGAGTTTCCTGGAATTTCCGTTTTTTTGAGAGAGTTGTTACTCTCATTCCTGCTGCATTTTCAGGGGGGCATGTAACCCTTGTGCATCAATTTAAAAAAGTTACACATGTACATGGACAAAAATGTCCGTGTCAAAAAACTGTCATAAAAATCTTAAGCTTGGGAGCACAGACTTATTTTTGGTATCATTTTAAAGAAGACCCTTGGCAGATTATTGCTGAAGTAAAAAAACAAATAAATAAGTAAATCCAAAAAAAAAGTTGTATAGGTTTAAGTTTATTAAAATTATTTATGAACATTATTTTATATAAAATATATATTTTATTAAACAAGTTGAACTCCAAAACGGCTAGAAAATCAAAGCCATAAATCTACATAAGTTGTGTTCCAAATTTGAGCATGATATCTCAAAAAATGAGCTTTCGGTAAGATTTTGTTTGGGCGCAGTAACAGATTTTCCCCATTGGTTGCCAGCAAAACTCCACTGGTGCACACAGTAATTGGATTTGTTATTTGCAGTTGAGTTTTTCTCTCTCAATATTACAAACACACACATGCACACTCACAGATATTTTTTTATAACACACATACCAACCACACTCTGACATCCATACCAACACACCCACACAAATATTGTTGCATAATTTATCCAGTTGGCTCTATAATATGCTGAAGTAGAAAACAGTAATCAAGCGAGTATTTGCGAGTATTATAGGCCAAACCTGGAAAAATGGCACCATCTGGTAAAAAAAAATAGTAAAAATTTAAATTTGGAAGCCTTGCCAACAGAATGAAAGCCTCTTAACAAAGATTGCAACATTTTATAGTTAAATGGCCCTGCATGGGATTAAAAATTGCAGTTTTAATGGGTTTCAATGGGGACATTTTTGTCCAAAAAGCGCTGAGGGAGTATTTTGTGCACCTAGTGCAAAATTGATTTTTTAAAGAAAATGGCGGTGAAATAGTAAAATTCCAATAAAAATACAGACCTGTGCCAAATTTTATGCAGTTAGCATTAACACAGGCAAAGTGATCAAAAAAACAAAACTGAAAAGGACACAAATGTCCATAAGGATGCACAAGGGTTAAGAATGTTTCATCAAAACTGATCTCAGGGTGTGATATACAGAACACTATAAGGGGATCTCTATGAAAATATATCAGCTCCTGTAAGAAATCCCTTATCATTGCTGTCAATCATAAACTAAAGACACACCCACTATATAAATGTGAACCTTTGTAAACTGCATGTCTGTTGAATGTTCACACACGTTTCAGTAATTTCACAAATGCACAGTTTGGAATTCTGTGGTGAGAATGTAATTATTCCAAATTAGATTCCAAATTGCAAAGTCATTTGAAGCAACTGAATTTAGCTTTGAGTCACGTGTGATTAATGTATGCGACTATTCTGTAAGTTCTATAAGAGCTTCTTTGGTTATGGACTTTGAGGGCACTAACTGTGTTTGCATGCTTGTGCACACCAGAAATATTCATATAAACGGGACAAGTTGTTAACCAAGACTGTTTTTTTTTTTTTTTATCTTTCATTTCAGTGTTCTTTTATATGTCAATCTCTGATTCAGTATGCAGGAATTTGTTCTCTTTGCTGCTGTGACTGGAACTCATGCTTATTAACAAAAGGCACTAATTAATCTCTGCTGGTACAGCACAGCAATTTCACATGCTGTCAACTGAAATGAAAGAATGGGAGACAACAGAATATTGGTGAATACAAAAGAAGCTGCAGACATTAACTAGTCTAAAAACATTAGGGATGTACCGATATAAAGAAATTGGCCGATACTAATAACCGATAATTCTTCAAATTTGAAAGCCAATAACCGATATATTGGCCGATATTTTTGAAAGTCTGATTTCAAAAACAAAAGTCTCACCATTAAAAGCCATGTCCCAAGCACACAATTATAATGTTCTCATTATAATTTTATGTATATGACAGACTTGTGCTGCATATGTCACACTTAACTCTGTATTTTCTTTTTCTTTTTAAGTGATTACAATCATATTTGCAATTCAAAACCATCATGGTGAACAGTGCGCATCTGAAGAAGTGTCTCAGCGGAAGGAAATAATCCATTATTTTTCGGCTTAGATATTTCACCCAAATTTTCTTATCGGCCCGATAACGATAACATTAAAAAGGAACATATCGATAGATACCGATATGGCGGCCGATATATCGTGCATCCCTAAAAAACATCCTAAGGATGTCTAAACATACTTTTAAACAATCATTTTGCTTGAGAAGTAATCTTGCATAAGAAAATCAATGTCTTATCAAGGGTAGCTAGCAAAAGTAAAAAGAAAAATACTGGAAGTAAAAAGTAGGCCATCCACATTAAATTGTAGGCTACTTGAATATCTTATGCATTTTTTTCTTCTGAATTTAACATATCTTGTTTAAGAATGATTTGATATTTTATTTTAAAACGCGACCAAAATACTTTTTTACACGTTTCAGTGTTGGGCTCAACTTGTTGAACTTAAATTACTTCCAGATTTTTTCGTTATCTTTAAAAAGGCAATGGGGTTGTAAATAACATATAGCATTAGCCTCAAATGGTCCCAGTGAAGTTTTAACATCACGTTCAAAGTCATCATAACTCCTCAAATGTCCTTGTAACTGGAGACTATATTACACTGGCGTTAGTTGTGCGCATGCGCAGCAGCAGGGTTTCTATCATAGTCGAGGGGATGGGTTAAGTCACAGTCACACCACATATCCACGCAGGCATTCGAGCTGTCCATGCTGCTCGGTGAACCGGGAGCTTACATCACAGAAGGATATCGCACACTTGGAACCGGAGTTGGTGAATGAAACGCGCAGGTATGTGTTTTCCGTGTGTATTTACAGGCTGTGTACCACTAGTCCTGCTGGAGAGAAAGGCGGTCCATTTAAAAATGCATTTTGAGCTTTAGAAGAACACAATGAATTAACCTGATCTCTGGTGGTGCGAGCACACTCTCTTTGTGATTCATTCGCGATGTTGTAGTGCGCTCAGACCTGCAGATTGACAATTGTGGCCATTTAAGACGGGCTGTTGAGTGAATAGGGGGTTTGTGACCCTCCAACACCGAAACAGACCCTTCTCTCACAGACCAAGAAGTGGGTCTCATTTATCACGTTGTTCGCTGTTCTCGCCGTTTAAGTTTATCGCCACTCACGCGTGTCGCGCGCTCACGTGCGCAATGAAGGATGTGGGGTGAAAAAATATAATGAATTAAAACCGCATCTGTTCAATTGCGGATATATCCTTTTGTTTTATCATTTTTATAGTTATCTGAAGATTACTTTTTTGCTTTCACTCAGTCATTTAGTCTTAGTGACTAAATGTGACTACTTTTGTGACAACTTTTGGTCTGAGTTGCTTGGTGACATTGGTTGAGAAGAAAATACAAACTGGGCAAATTACTATGAAAATCAAGCTACTATGAGATGCCTAACCTTACCTAGATAAGTTTTTGAGCTTCAGAGGCATGTGCTGTGTTTGATGCCTTCAGATGCTTTTTAGGCAGGCATATCACCAGGTTTTGAGACATTGAGTAGCTTGATTTTCATAGTAATTTGTCCAGTTTGTATATTTCTTCTCAACCAATGTCACCAAGCAACTCAGACCAAAAGTAGGTAAGAGAAACACTGATGGTCTGAATTTTAAAAACACACTGCTTGTTTTAAGCTAAATTAGAGCTCTGCTTCCATTCGTGAGAGGAAACCGACACTTTCACTAAACAAATAAGAAGTTCTCAGAAAACTTCACTTTGCTCCACTCATATATTTGGGTCAAAATTCTAACTGTAATTTATATAGGGATTCCTATAGGGACTGTATTTATAGGGGTATCCATTTTCACAGTGGATTCTAATGAGCAGAATCTGATTTAGTTTATCAGCTTTTTATTGCAGGGGAAAGTTTCAACATCTCTGATATTTCATCATGAGCTTATTGGTATCATCAATGTTGCAAGCTAATCTCATGAGGTTAAATGTAGGTCGCCAAGTCACCTCAGATTGAATCAAAAAGATCTCTACTCAATTTAGGAGAAGAAGGTTGGTAGAGAGATGTCAGTCAGGTCACACTGTTATAAGGGCACAAATGGTGCCTCTCTGAACTCGGTGGTACTATCAGAAACCTGATATGACTTTGTCTGGAAATGGAAATCGGGCAGATGCACACACAATCATTACTTAAAGTCCCACTCCGATCATATTTTGAGCTATTTTTAAACATTCCCAGTGGTCTTTAAATTATGATTATGCCATTTTTAGCCAAAATCACAAAACCTGTGCCGTTTTCTGGGACTTCGCTTCAGCAGAGCGGCAGTAGCTCATTAGCAATTCGCCTCTGTGTTGTGGGCGGAGCCGTTGGCACGGAGATGACCCTCCCCCTGCCCGTTGCTGAGAGCTCTGTCTCTCCTGCTAGCTTACACCCCCAATACCGGTGTGGCAACAGTATTATATACACGTTAATTATTATTATCCGAAGTTAATCAAAGTTATTACCGATCACCGATCATTATTTCACTCCAAGACGTCGCGTGTGGAGACGCCCAGTGGAGTTACTACGTCACAACTCCAGTCTATTTTAGCCGGCATTTTAGCGTCTGCTACTGATTCACAGCCATTTGAATGTAGAAATACTCAGAAATACAACTTTGAGCTTATTTTTCTCAAGGTATGTCCTCTAACATCAGAAAAATGCCACAAGAACATGTTAACACCTAGAAAAACATTATTTTCATCGGAGTGGGTCTTTAACAAAAGAGTAACCTGAAATTATTTCAGTAGTGATGAATTCCAGAAGGCTTCTGATGCAATTTCATTTCCAACTTTGACCCACGTTGAGAGTGTAAAGATAATCTCCCTTCAATAAAACTGCGTATGTAATGTTTAAGTCCATTTTAATGGGCTGTTATGTGGTGTTTGAGATCTAGTTGGCTGACTTAAAGTTCAGCGGTCACGTCTGATTTGTAATTGATCAAAGGTTCACACAAGGGCAAATGTTGAGGATGTGGGAGAAAAACGGGTTTAGCAATTCAAAAGAGTCACAAGACCAATCAAGAGCACATAATTGAATGATTTGAGTTGGATGCCAAACTGTCAACATCAAGCACACACTGATGGATATTATATTTCATTACAGGTATTGTTTAGTGCTAAGTTTGTTATTATATTTCTTTTCATGTATAGTTTGTTGCTAAGACAAGCCACAAACTTATTATAGTGCCAGTCTGTGGTAGTTCTTTGGCAGGTCAACGTGTATAGGCTCACAGTGGTGGTTTGTGTGTTTGTGGTTATGTGCCCTGTATGAGGTGGCAATTGAATATGACAAAGGCCGTTCTATTGTTGGTAGGGATGCACGATATAGGATTTTGGCCGATATTCGATATGCCGATATTTTCAAACTAATTTTGCCCGATACCGATATATTTGTATTTTTTTTAAGTGCAAAAAAAGCTTATTAAAGCTTCTATTAATGTTCTCAGTCAAGAGCAGTGAGTGATTTCCTCTGTGTTTTGTTGTTTTATTAACATTAACGGGATAGTTCTCCCAAAAATTTAAATTGTCATCATTTACTCTCTCAAGTTTCTTTCTTCTGTTGAAATTATAAAAGTTATTTGGAAGAATGTGGCTAACCAAACAGTTGCTGTACTCCAGTGACTATATTTAAGCACAAGAAAGAAATGAATCCAGGTTTGAAACAACATTAGATAGACATAATTTTTATTTCTGGGTGCAGTATCTCTTTAAAGACAAGCGGCAGAATATTATTACTGTCTCTTTAAGAACTGCACGCGAGTAACGCGACGCGTCTAATATACACGCATTTGACAAGCAGATTTTCTCTGTTTGCTTTCACTTTAGACATAACCAACTTTGTTTATGTAAACCTTGTGTGTATTTGACAGTATCAGCGCAATAAGACTCGAAAGATTAGTCCAGTATGCAGGCGCTGTGACAGGCTTTTAGTTCCTGTGAGCGTCGGGTGTAACGCGCTCAGAAAAGCGGATGTTAGAACAGCGCATCAGCACGTGAATGACATGTTTACCTAGCAAGACTTTGACGCACATGCAAACAATGAACTTTTGTGAATTGCGGTGTCCCGTGAGTGTAACTCTACCTCTGCGTTTACATGTGATGTGATGTGAATGTACGTCGCGTTGTACAGTATGTTGAGATGAAGGCGCCAGAATTGAACTGATAGAATGCACGATACTATGATTTTTCTTCAAAAGCAGATAGTGGAGACATTTTAATCGTCCACGATCAAAAACCGTGAGACGCACAGCACACCCCTAGTTGGAAGTTTAAGTTGCTGGCGCTCATGCTTCGTTCACGGTCGTCACGTGCGCATAGGAAACACGCCACCCTATCGGCAAGACTCATCGGCAGAAATATTCATATCGGCCGATGCCGATGATGGTCATTTTAAGCTTTTATCGGCCGATACCGATGTTGTCCCGATATCATCGTGCATCCCTAATTGTTGGCTATTATGAATGCCACAAACTCACTGTTGCATGTCAGAAATTTTGACTGCATCCACTCTTTAGAGTGGACACTCAAATTCAAAGTCAATGGTTGTGACATTCATGGCACGACTCGGCTCACTTTACTTTGGCTCGGCTTGCTTTTCCACTGCAGTTTAGTACCACTTCAAAGTGGGTGGGATTATAGACTGATCGTTATAGTTGTGCCGCCACCTTGTCTACTGACCACGATACAGCCATTTTTTTTCAAGTTGCGTGAACCAGATTAAAATCAAAAGGGAATTTGAATGAGAATGGAGTACAAGGGGGGGGGGTGTATGGTTAGGGCCGGTCCATCTGGCTGTTCCACTGTTCTCTTGGTGGTAAATGTTAATTCTATTGATATGCACACTAGGGATGCTCCAATCGATCGGCCAGAGATCGGTATCGGCCGATCTTCACATTTTATGACTCGATCGGTACTCACTAAACTTGGCCGATCTCACAAACCGATCACAATTTGATTAGGCCTACATCAAAACGTGAGAAGGTACATGATGCGTGGGGACTTAAATGATTTGGCAGTCATGTCATCGCTGGTGTGGAATTGCTATGAGGTGTCGAGAAACAGCTATTTGCCATGTATGTTTCAAAGGAATCTCATGTGGAGGAGCATTGTCCTCCAGAGAGATCAGCTTTCTGAAGAGTAGCTTCGCTCGCTCAGTCCACACAGCGTCGCTCGCTCAGAACGCCCGCAGTGACGTGCTGGTTAGGAAATATGTGAAATAAATTGGGCTGCCCGTGCACGACTAAAGTTTTTTTTCTAGTTGACTAGTAGTAATTCATTTAAGCCATTACTGCATATTTATATTAATTTAATTAAATATATATGGGAGAAAATACTAAACCATAATGAGCGTTATCGTAATATTGCCTATATGCCGCATATCAAGCGCATGCATAGGCCTAAAGCTTGCCACAAAGAACCGGCAAAAGTAATGTTTAAGCAGCATGGTACATTTGAATTGTTTATTAATAAACTAGTGTTTTCTGGCTGCAAAGATACAGTTGGCGACGACGCCATCTTCGCATGTAGTGAACGCGCCTATAGAGAGAAATGCACACTTCATACGGATAGACTACATAAGCAGAGAGTAGGCTACCCCATTTCTTATCGATTTGAATGGTTTTTTTTTAAAGCATTTCAAGCTTTCTATACGTTCTCAGGTCTGTGAGGCAAGTCATTTATACGCTGAGTTTCGGTTCATTTATGAGACGCGTTCACCTCCGTATCCTATATTGTCTGCTATATTTCGCTTCTTATTTATTAAATCCAGCCAATTGGTTGATGAAACATTGA